GTGGACGCCGACATGCAGCCGCCGCTCCCGAACCGCCACCCCGTCGCCGTCCGGCGCAGCGTTAGCCTGGGACAGACAAGTTTTCCAGCTCGGGCAGCGAGGCGGCACAGCGTCCCTCCCTGCACTGCCCGCAGCCAGGAAAATTCAGGCAATCCATCAGAAACTCAAGAAACAGGACCCACCCTGCCACGTGGCCGATAGATAGTAAAATCTTTCATCTTTATGGCAGAGTTGGTGCAAATGTGGCCAATAAAGAAGGACTTGGCCAGCAGTCCTCACCGCACACCAAGCGCTGCCGTTCCTAAAGAGACGTACTCAGTATGCACTGCACCTTATCTTTGCATTTCCCACGGCAGAGCAAAGCCAAATTCTGCTTATTAGCGTCTGGATGTTCAAAACAAAGCCTACACAGAGCACCCGTGTGTTAATCCAGCAGTAAAGCAAGCAAAAGGCTTGCACGGAAGAAAAAAAAAATAATAATAATAATTGGTGACTCCAAGCAAAACAAATACACGAGTGCCATATATCTGAATGTTTCCACTCCACCCAAAAGCGAAGCGCCGGCATTACTGCTTGTGCACCGCGCTTTCCTCTGCCGTAACCGCATCGGCAGTACCTGCAGTAAGCGATCGCTGTTCAGTAAGTCCAGCAGCTCTTCCTCAAATTCCTCCAGGGAAGGGTACAGCTGGACAGACAGCCTCTCCAGGTAGCAGGTGACCGGCTTCATCAGCCGGGGTTTCTGCAGGCAGTCACCTGAGAAGAGAAGGTGGTGGCCACAGGTCACGCTGCGGCCGAGGGGGCACATCGCTGGGAAGGCAGGGGCACCCGCAGCCGGACCCGAGCCAAAAGCAGCACCGGGGAGAGGTCATGGTCGTGTGCGGGATCCCCGACTTCCCCGGCACGATACAGGTCTTTATGCCCAGGAGAGACCCAGAAATACCCAACGCCGTTGGTGTGGATGGATACAATGCGGTTATTTAACACAGGCACCGCCACCATGGTGCTGAGGCGCCCTGCCGCGCAAGACGCTGGCTCTCCCCTCGCCTGCTTTCGAGCAGTGGTGTCAGCAGCTCCGGGGACTCGGCTGCTTTGGAGACCTCGCTCAGCTTTAACACGAACAGTTACAACCCCCAAAACGGTTAGCAGGAGGGCTTTCCAGGCAGCAAGCTGAAGAATAATTCAGCTGCAGAACTGAGAGTACTTTTTACCCTCTGAATCTTCAGATCACATAATATTAATTGCAGCAGCCCAAACGGCAAGGCTGCTACCCACAGGGAAAGATTAACGAGGGCTGAGCGCGCGAGAGCTCGTCCCCCCCAAACTTGCCAGACCCCCAGCGATCCCGAGCCCACCACCGAGGAGGACTTTAAACAAGCTGCGAGGGCTTCTCCTAAGGCTCCGCTGAACGACTGTAATTAAACCAGCCATCGCTTATCCCTAGCAGCTTCCCAGGAGCAAAGCAATTAACAGAAGGAGAACAGACCAAAGCCATTCTGACATCTTTCAGGCTGAGCTATGAACGAAGGGCTGCAGCCTCGACGGCCGGCGCAGGGGGAGATGCTCTCGCCAAGGGGCAGCGCTGCTGAGAACCCGTCGGTCCCCCCAGAAACCCCACGCCAGCGCCCTGCCCACAGCCTCCCCGGGGACCTGCCGCCTTCAGCGGGAGCGGTGCAGGCAGCAGGGAAAGGGAAGGAGCCCTTACTCGCGTCTCCGCGCGCCGGCAGCAAGCCGGGAACGGTCTGCAGCCCAGACATCAGAAGGTTTTCGGGAAGAAGGTGAAATATCGTCTCCAGGGGCTGATGGGGCTTCAGGGCGTACTGCACGTGGCTCTTCTCCATCACCGTCAGGTATTTGTTCTCTGAAGGAAAGAAAACATCCCAAAATGACCAAAACGAGGGGGAGACAGCTTCGCAACGCCACTGTTGAAGAAATTATCTACAAATGCACGTGGTTAGGAGCAAAGGAAAACCTGGGTTTGCCCAGCCAGGCTTCTCCCAGCTGGCAGTAAGACACATCCGCTTAGCACTACCAGGGTACGGACCACACATCGCATGGACCAGACAGACACAGTACTCATTTGGGTAAGAGAGACCACCAGGAAAGGAGTGAGATGCGAGGCCTTGCTTACTTTCCACAGGGTCCTGGAAGCGCGGGTGCAGTAAGGCACGTGGCGTCCCATGGTACAGCTTCAGCCTGAAAGCAAAGAGCACACGCACAACAGTCAGTAAATCCACGCCAAAGCACGTCTTCATCTTCCACAATGCCTCTGCTCAACACTAAGAGACCACCTTCATACTCTCTACCCGCAGTAAGAGCTCTGTCCTTCAGGGAGAGGACAGGATCACCTACGAGCCCATCGCTGCTTCCCCAGCAGTGAAGAACTCCAGGTTTCTAAATGCTACTGTTGTTTCTGCAGCCCCAGGACCACACTTTCTCCCCCCAAAGCAGCCATGCGCGTTGCCACCCCAATTCCCGGCATGCCCCATCACGTGGCAGAGGGGGGGAACCTACGCTCTGTCCTCGGTGGCTGGGTCCGTCGCCTCCGACCCGCTGCCGAAGAGGGGGATGAGTCCAAAGCCACAGGAGAGATGCTGAGATCCCCCATCCCCTTTCCCGGCCGTCGTCACCACTTCCACAACGGCGGTGATGCCGGGGTGCTTCAAGGAGGTGTGGAAGTAAACGGTCTGGGATGGGAAAGGAGAGAGAAAGGGTACGCCGGAGCTGGCGGCAGCAGCTGCAGGCAGAGCAATACCTGCCGCGTTCAGACAGCCAGCGGGGCAACCAGAACACCCCGTAAAACTTCCAGGCAGCGGCTCATGGCAAATGACCTGCGGCACTACTCGGAAATTTCAACCTCCTTAAGTCTCAAACATCATTCACTTTTTTTCCACCCCCCCCGCCTTTTTTATGTCGCTAACCCCCGCTTTCCAGAGTAACTCGCAGGCTGCGGACCCCGTAAGAGCAGGGCTTCGATGCCCCCCTGACCCTACAGCATTACAAGAAGCCCCACACTGGGAGAGCCAAAGGAGCTGGAAACTCTCCCGCTGCAGGGAGAGGTGGCCCAGACCTGGGGGCAGGAGGGGACGGGACACAGGTCACCTCCCCAGCACAGGATTTAAAGCTAGGTTAATCTTTCTATTAAAAACTCGTTACCGCAGTGTCCCAGGGAAAACATTTACTGTAATCACAGGCTGTCAGGAAAGGATAACAGAGAGAGACATTACCACACCAACCCAGGGAAATAAATCATTATTCTATTATCTTTTATTGCAAAACATTCAAATAACGACTGCTGGCTGCAGAGCGACGCCTCGCCTTGCAAAGACAGAGAGCTCTGAAGGTGGATCCCTTGTGAAACCCAGCTCGCCGTTCCCTCCGGGAACACTAACAGCGCTGTGCGACGGCGTGTTCTCTCCCCTAAACCCCGTGAGGACGACGCAGGGCAAATCCTGCCGGCGGGGGCACCTCGAGCTGCCACAGGCGTGCAGACCCCCCCAACCACACGGGGAGGGGGATACCATGGGGATGCAGTACCACCAGGGGATGCGATCCCAGGAGGCGGCTCTCCAGCCGCATCTCCTGCGGGAGGAGCGGCACCTCTCCTCCTTCCCTCCCCTTGCACAGATCGACTGCCTCTGTACCTGAACCCTTTGCAGCACTAAACTGATGAATGTCACGGAGTTAAAACATCTCAGTGCTCAGCCATGACGGCACTGCCACGTTTTTCTCACTGCAGCACTCTGCCATAGTTTTTTCTCCATCCGTCTTCAAAATAGCAGGGGTCAGCCAGTGGAAGAAATGCACGTGTCAGCACCCCTCATATACTGCTACTAATTTAAACAAATGAAGGAGCGCAGCTCTAATCAGTGCTACTTATCATTCACGGCACAGAGCACTGGAGGAAGTGGGAGCAAAAGTTTAATTAGAAAACGTAACATCTCAGCTGTCGTTCATGCTATGGGGCAGCAGCGGATGGAAACATGGCTTTGGGCGAGTTTAGTTCCAGGTAAGGAGAGAAAAGCGCTGTGCTGGAGGGCAGGCGGCTGCTCCTTCCCTTCCTTCCCACTTGTGAAGAAACACTGCTCTCTGCCGCCGGCTCCGAACACAGCAGGCGGCACATGGCGGCACACCGTGGCACACCGCCGCTCCCACGCCGTCGCCCGGCCCCAGGGGTAGCCCAAGACCCGAATTTCCCCATTCTGATAAACAGTGCAGAAAAGCTTAATAATCGGGCAGCATCTGGGGCACCCCCTGGGCAAAGGATTAGGAAGCGTCAGAAGGGAAAAGGGTTTGCTGCTGCCGTCTGCCTGCGCGCAGGAGAACGCACCGCCGCAGAGAAGGCTCAGCAGCAGCCGACCCACCACGGGCCAGAGCCCCTGCATGCTGAGGACTTGCTGCTTTAAAAGGCTCTGGCTACAGCAAGCTGATGGCAGGCTCCCGGAGCTCTCTGAGCTCCACATCCACCAGACTGATGGAGGAAACCAGCACCGAAGGAGAGCGGCTCCAGGCTGAACCCGAGTGAAGACGTCTGTTCCCTTCATCCATTAAAAACCTCCCTTCTCGGGCTTGACCCAGCCAGCACGGACACTCCCCTGCCCTCCCGCGGCCCCCCGGCATCCTACCTCGTTGAAAGCCGCCCTGGTCGGACGCGGTGGGGCAGCGCGGGCAGCTCGTCGCACGCTCCTCCACGTCCTCCCGAAGAAGTGGTGGTAGGTGGCGTCGAAAAGGGAGAGGCGCAGCTGGTACTCGGCTCCCTGCAAGGCACAACAGGACAGGAGGCGCCGGTGTTCCGGCCCGCTCGGGGACACGCCAACTCAGCAGCCCCAAACTGCAGAAAACACACTTCGGTAAGAGAGGACAAGTCATTCCCATTTCCCAATCGATGCCCAAATTGGGCACGTGGCCACGTACAGCTTCGTGCGTTGCTGGAGAACATTACTGAAAGCCAGAGGTCGAACACGCAGAGCAAAAGGGGGAAAACTGAACATTAAGTGTATAACAAAGGGGCAGCAGACTTTTAAAGTGTTACCCAGGGATTTCAATTTTAAAATGCTTAGCTAAATGAAACGCTTACAAAAATTAAATTAGAAATTAACTAAGCACTAGCTCAGACCTGCAGGTAAAAACACATGGGATTGAGACGCGGCTCCGATTTGCGTTTCCAGGAGATTTACCGTTAGTTCCCCCCAAAACAAGTCACGTTGTTCTGAAAACCTCCACCTTTACGGGCTCGGCCCCGCACACGCAGCCAGCCCCGGCGGCGCCGCGGGACGGCGGCGGGCAGACACCGAG